AAAAAAAAGAAAAAAAACACCTGAGATAGAAACAGAGCTGTGAAAAATGTTGAATAGAGAATAAAGCGAATTAAGAAACCACAGATGAAAGAATTATAACGCTTGCTCTTGAGTCATCACTGTATAACATACTCTAAAACCGTAGAACAAACCAGAGACCCAAAAAAAGGCACAATTTCATTTAATTGCAAACCAACTTTTCAACATAGTTACAAGTGAACAAAAAGTCGAGGCAAAAAACTATTAAACCCATAGCGAACAAAACAAAAAAGACCAACTATGCTTGATTTCCTCCACCTCTCAGACCACCACCACCACCACGGCCCCCCATCCTTCCACGGCCCCGCACAAAGCCTCTCCCGCCTCCACCTCGGCCCCTTCCATAACCATCACCTGCAAATATTTCATGCATGTAAGTTAACCCAAAACATTCTCCAAAATAGCCAATGATCCATGTCAAACCTTAATTTATCTACTCCTGTCCTAGCCTCTATGTATTCAATGCAAAACTCATGTTTACAAGTTTCATACCAGCAAGTTATTTGCCATTACCCACTACACAAAAGCGGTGACCTATAAAATTAAGTATAGAACTCATACAGATAATTGTAACATTACTGAGATGGGATATTAGTCACTCGGTAACCAAAATATAGTTATAGTTAACAATTAAGTGCAGGGTTTTATATTTTAAGAGAGAAACAAATTTCTACAGCAAAATAAGGCCTGCCAAACAATATATGGACTGTACAAAAACTGGAACTAAATGGAGCTTTGGCAAAACCCAGAAATTCCAGAATCTACTTAACCAATTTAAAACAAATAAAAAATCTAATCATCCGAAATTAAAAAGAAAAAAAAATAGTTCTTACTAACCTCGATAGCCCCAACCCCCACGCCCACCACCTCGTCCCCAGTTAGGGTATCCACCTGAGTAGCCACCCTGATACCCACCATTCCCGCGCGAGTAGCCACCATCATTTCCTCCTGAGTAGCCACCCCTATGTCCTCCCGAGTAGCCACCCCTATTTCCTCCCGAGTAGCCACCGCCATTTCCTCCAGAGTAGCCACCCTGATACCCACCAGAATACCCACCTTGATACCACCCACCATTCTCTGCCAAAATATAAAAAGAAAAAATAAATGAGAGGGATGGAGAAAACAAAATTACTGATATACAAGTTAAGAGGCATAAATAATAGCTTAAATTCTACTAGTTCATACAGAATTATGGTTTGGTACCTTGGTAATTAGAATATCCACCTCTATTCCAGCCTCGGCCCCTCCCTCTACCACGTCCGCTTCCCCGTCCATATGAATCTAAAAACTCAAAGGAGTGTGAAATCATTCACTGACAATGATAACAACTTATAATAGGAATTAATTAAGAGTCTTAAATATTTTTTTTCTGTACCTCCATTACCAGAGTTGTAACCTCCACGTACTTGTCTAGGAGGCTGACGTTGCTGTGGCGGATGATTGTATTGCTGTCTAGTTTGATCAGTATTTGATGGAGCTTGATACCTGGATCAAGCATACAAACCCATTGGAAATGCGAAATAGTTTGGGGGGGAAAATGTATATTTCAAAATCGCCAAATGACTCCATTCCTACAGTATCACAAGAAATAAACCATATACCAATTGAAGGCCAAGCATAAAGGTTGCCACTTACAACTATGAGAATCCATACATATTTGTGAAGGAACACGATGCCACACAATTAAAGTTTTATGCATCACATAGATTAATTAAAGTGGAGACCAGATTAATCAAGTAGACATGTACCCGGGGGAATTTTTGTTCAGATCTTTCGTAGACAGGGTAATTGAAATCATCGAAACATGTCGCGTCTGCTCCACACTGTACCAGACATTAAAATTCATATTAGATATACACAGGAACACCCCCATAAAATGCCAAAAAGAACATAATCAAAGGACAAATAAGAAGAGATATTAAACTTACGTCTGAAGGCCTTCCTCAATGGGTTCAAAAGTATCTGTTATGCTCACTGAACTGATGGTAGAGTCCTGATGAAGCCCAGGAATCCTTCTCTGTTTTAAAATGAAAGCACTTAGAATATCTATCAGTGTACAGAAAGGGAGAAATGGGAAATATGGATGGTCGGGTGGAAAAGCTACCTTTATGATTTCTGCAACAGCCACAGTCTTGCTTATAGCCTGACCCATTGCTTTTAAGACGATCTCTGTTACTTCACGTTCCTGGTGAAAAGATAAGTAAGATATTGCATACTATCTCAGTTGACAAAGATGAAAAAACAAAATCTATCAAATTTACAAAGATATATACAGAAAAGACCCAACTAAAAGATACTTTGTCATGTTTTAAGGCCCAGTATTAAAGAAGCCAACATGATATCCTCCTAAAGCAATCCAGGTTCCTACTTTTATGCATTGGAATTTGGTAGTTAGTAACAGAAATCATGGAATGCATCAACCTAAAAAGCCCTACCAGCTGAGAGTTCAACTTAAAGGCGGCCCATTCCAAGATCAATGACTTCATGTGATTTGGGTTCTATGGCCTTGATATAAAAAATAGTTAGCATATTCTCGTGTTCTAATGCTAGGGTTGTTGCTTGGATTTTATATCCACGACATCCCAGTAAAATTGTGCTGCCAGCTACATCTGACCTACACCAATCATTTTATGAATAATAATCTTTGTCAATTCCCCTGACTCCTCACAACAGATGAGCACGGTTATGCAAGTCATGATCCCAATTATAACACTAGAAGAAACAATCAGATATATAATTTCCTAACTGGTGGATAGAAGAAAAAAAAAAAAACTACACATGAAATATACAAAAGATCAATTGATATGGAAGAAAGGAATCCAAATATAATGAAAATGGAAGAAACTCTAAAACCCAAATTCAAAAAGAAAAATGTTAAAGATAAAACTGAAGGCAAAGATAATCAGGAAAGGTTGTTCTAAAGCACTAGAAGCCCCGAAGTACAGGTATACTGCCAACAGCTCTACCCAATCGATACAATTTACAGTAAGTTGTTTCTCGGAAAATATCTCTATATGGTAATCAAGAAATCAACTACCAGGCAGTTATAGGAAACTGAAAACACTAAACGTGCCAGACTTATTCATGTGTTAAATAAAGCAGTGCATGTATATGACACATAGTTCGAGTAAGGTAATATAGAACACACTGAGACATTATTTAGTATTCTCCAATATCTATGAAACATTACAGGGCTACCAAAACCAAAGTCCACAGCAGGCACAAAAATAAACTTATGGAACCTCAAGACTAACACACACACACACACACAATATTTAACCACTTAAAGGAAATGACTACACGGAAGATAACACAGAAAACAAATTCCTATTGGAACCCTAAGCATTACCCATAATCAAAGGCAGGTAGACAACCCACAATCCAGAAACGGCAAATTAACCAGCCATTTAAGAAAAACACTATAACATAACAGCGCGAGCAAACTGAACAGATAAACTAACAAACAAAATTTGAGCACAAGACAAGAAAAAACGATGAATTTCAAAAGGCAGAAGACGAAAAAAAAGGCACCTGAAGAAGGGTGGTGGCGTAACTGATGTAGTTACGAACCAAGCCCTGTGAAGTAATGCGGATCTCATTCTGATTAACAGGAGATTCAGGCTTTGGCTTCTCCACCTTCTGATATCTATCCATCTTCTTTGATCCTCTTGCTCGAAATCGAAAGCCCTGTCAAAACCCTAGAGAGAGAAATACAAAGAGGAACTGTTCTGTGAATGACATGCATATATATATAACCATCACGGTTTATGGAATATCTGCAGACTGCAAGGAAGGGAAACAGTATGAAGGAACATTTGGGCCTCCAGCTCAGATTTAGCGGGCCATTACTTGGATGGTTAAGGTACGTCTAAAGATGGGCCGTCTCTTAAAATTGGCCTTGGTTGTCTTTGGATTTTAATTCGTGAAATTTACCCCCATTTACTAATTCTTTGTTAAGTAATATTAACTAGTACGACACATGTGTTTACTACACATGTGTATGAAAAAATAATTCGAACAAAAAAGGTAAAAGAGTGTAGTTATTGTAAGTATATACAAAATAAATAAATGAAAGTTTCAAAAAACAAAAGCTCTTGGACATTGGTATCATCCTTGTCGCAACACAAATTTGTAATGAATTGTGACATCCGTAAATCAGGAGTTAATGTTGATAAGATAAGGGATGCGTTTAGTTAATATTTCAATAATTATATTATAAATATATAGAAAATCATCCTTAAGAAAAAAATGTCTCGACACCCCCAAATCACAAAAAACCTACCGCCGGTGTAGCTCCATTCTCTATCTCTTGGCCTTCCTCAGCGGCGGCGGACTCGGGCCTGTGGTCGTCCCCAATTGCTCGACCCATCCCGGTTGCCATATCGTCTCCAGCGCTTCTAACGGCAGATGATTTGTCGCGTTCTCTCACCCCCGACTTCGTCTCTTTTGGTGAGGTTTTGTGGGCTGGTCGCTGAATCTGAGGTCGTGGGGGTGTGGGGAGGGATGTGGGTCTGTGGATGGGTCGGGGCACCTGACTGCTGCGATGAATCTCGTTGTGACGGTCAGTGCGAGGAATTGTCTCTTCACCTCGGTTTCCTTCTCTGAGATTGAATTCAGTTTTCTTGGGTCGCCTTTGAGGTATTTTCCGTCTATTTGTTGTGTTGGTTGACGTTTGTGGTTGCAGGGGTTCTTTTGGTTGGCTTTGGTTCGTCGTCTGATCGAGCTC